GTCAAGACAGCAAACAAGACTGGGAGGAGTGGGAGGCTTGGTGCCGGAGACTCTCAGAGCAGCTTAGTCAATTTGGGAAATTGACACTGGTCCAGGAAACAGTACTAGTGTCCACTTGATTTGTCCCGTGACAGTTAGCAGGGTCACAGAAAATCTCTACGTTGATTCTGGTACTCTTGCCGGAGGATATGCCTCACAAGGTCTGCATTCAGAAACCAGAAAATCTCACTTAGAGCTTCTCCGCCCTGTTCCCAGGTCCAGGGACTCCACCAGGCTGAAGAACTTCTGCCTGTCCCGAGAAGTGCACCTGCTATGAGGGGGACGATCATTGGCGTAAGGTTGATGTGGAATGCTGCCTTGGCAGGGATCATAGTGATCCAAGAGTGGGTTTATCCCGGGACGGGGAATCTACAGAGACCAGTGTGGATAGTATCAATAGGGACATATGTCCTATGCTGCTTGCAGGGCCTCCCATGTGGAAAGCACATGAAGCTGACGAGAACACTCACCACTGTCTGGTGTGGGGTAAGCTGGGCTGCTCTGCTTGGCTTGCGCTCGGGCTCTCAAGCCCAGCTCAAATAAAGAACTGCCTGGTACAGGGCCTTGGTCTATCATAGGTTTGTCCTTTCCCTTTTGGGAAATAGGAGATCTTTCTCTCCCCATCTTCTTAGGCTTCTTCATTGGAGCCACAGAAGGAGACAGGTGTCATTGGTAGATGGCATTGGTGGGGCGCTGTGCACCGCCAAATCGGAACACTTCTCCAGCATCAGCGCGAGGGCAGACTCCATAAGGAGGGCTTTGAGCAGAACATCTCTCTCCCTCTTTGCCCTGAAGAACTTGCAAATTCCACATTAATTAGCCATGTGTTTTTTGCCCAAGCACCGTAAACTATTATTATGTGGATTGCTAATGGGCACTGGCCTCCTGGGGACCAGGACATTCCCTGCCCCAAGGCAAAGTCCCACCAAAGCCAAAGTCCCACCAGAGGACCTAACAAATCTAAGTACTATGGGAATTTATAACACTGGGGAAATTAACTACAAACTAAAAGAACAAGTGCAACAAGAAGCAACAGCATAGTTCTAAGCACCATCACTAGTGACAAGAAGGAACGGTAGAGATGGGGGTTTGGCAGGGCTCTATATACCACAGTATGCACACACCACTCCAGAAAGCACCAGAGCCTATCTCCTATGGATACTAAGGATGTTAAGTAATGGCTAATTGATTAGTCGAGTAGGTTGATGGAATTTCCATTGACTAATTGACTAGTCAATAGGCACTTCTGCATTCCTCCTTGAAACGTACAAGAGGCCCTGCTGGGGCTCTTGTACATTTCAAAGGAGGAATGCGGAACTCTGTGTGCAGCCCGGGGCCAATAGGAAGTCCTGCTGACTCCGAGCTGCACATGGCGTGCCAGTTTTGAAATTCACAAGAGTCCCCAGTGGGGGCTCTTATGCATTTCAAAGTGGCAGTGCAGCATGGAACCCAGGGTCAGTGGGGGACTCAGAGTCCCCCACTGACCCTGGGCTCCATGCTATGCTGCCAATTTGAAATGCTAAGGCGGTGTTCAAAGGGGCAGCGTCGCACAGCTAAGCCGGGGATCAGCTGAGCAGCACTGCCACATATGGAGCCCAGGATCAGCTGGGGACTCCCCAGCTGATCCCAGGCTCCAGTGCAGCGTTTCCGCAGAACCTAGGATCAGCTGGGGTGTACCCAGCTGACCCCGGGTTCTGAGTAACTGCCACATGGAACCCACTGTCAGCTTGGGAGTCTTTGAAGTACCCCTGCCGCTTTGAAGTACCTCTTTCCCCCCCACTTTTCTGCCTCTATCTGATAGAGGCAACAAGAGGGAGAAATTGACTAGTTGACTGACTATTCAATAAGCATTTGCTTATCAGATAGTCGACTAATCCTTAACATCCCTATTGGATACTGCAGAGAGAAAAAACACTTCTGGTAACAGTGCACACACAACTAAGTTGAAGGGACATGAGCAAGCACGCGAAGAACTATTGAATCTGTGCCTTTTTAAAAAATAATGTTTAGAAAAAGCTACTGCTTAATAATTCAAAACCTGAAATTTCAACCTAGTGGGGAAGGGAGAGAAGGAAATAAACACAGTGTTTTTCCTCTCAGCATACTCATTACCTTTAGTTTTTTTGTCTCGGGCGTGTGTGCATGCACGTGCATGCTTAGGAGATGCTGAGTCCAGTCCTATGCTCAGGTCACATTTCAAGTAATCAAGTATTTCATTACCAAGACCAAAAATCAGGAACAAGACAACAAAGCACCATAAGAAACTACAGAAACCACATGGCAATCAAATTAATATCTGAAGATGAAGAAAAACAGCAGTCAGCCTTCGGAACACCAGAGGGTGCTATTGTATAGTTAGTGAATAGGGGGAAATATCAGCAATAACACTCCATGAATAAAAAGTCTCACAGGGGTAGCCATGTTAGTTGTGTTAGTCTGTAACTGTAAAAACAAGCAGTCCTTTCTTGCATTTAACAGAACAATGGTTCCAAGTTCAGGACAGATGTAGATGAGTGGAAAAAGGTTTCCACAAATTGTTCAGTATGTGGACTGGGCTCCATTTCAGACCTCGGATGTGAAAATAACACTGCAGTTCCCCAGCAGAATCCCTCTATGACAGGAAAAGTTGTGTCTTTTTGAAATATGCTTTAGCAAAATCATGTGGTCTCAGGGAAGCTTTGCAATCCTTGGAAGAGAGCCTTGTGACCTAGGCTGAAGCGCAGTGGGGGGTACCTAGCATGAACTGAGAATCAGCTGGCCCAGCTTGCGCTGAATCCCGCCCCCTACTGCACTTCTGATTTTTAAATGTATTAGGAGCTGGCAGGCTTGCACCTGATCCCCGCTGATTCCTGGCTTGCACCTGATCTCTGCTACCCCCTGCCTCCCATGGAGATGGTGCTGGGGGGAACCAGCTTTTAATTCAAAGTTGTCTGTTTTGCAGTTTGAAATGGACCCTTTTCTACAAAACTTTTTATGTAGCTTTTAAATTGAAAAAACTCATTTTCGTAATCATTATTTTAAAATGATTTACCAACTACATTTTGTGTCATTTATACCAACACCACAGAACCACTTTAGCAGGTGGTTCTGAAAAGTTATAGGACTGTGATACAGGAATCCAGAAACCACTGAGATGCTTATATTAAGTAGAGTAAATGATGCCAAGTTCTCAGCACTGGACTTGGTCAAGTCAGATGGATCTAAAGACCTCCCAGCCATTTTGGCTGATATGGCACTCAGGCACTAGTCTTGATTGAACTGGTAGATCCAGGAATTTTCATCTACATATGGTGGTCACAGAGCCAAGTTGGGTGTCTAAAGATGATAGTGCTGGATCCTTGCTATCAAATTCAGCTGACCCAAATGGATCTAGAGACCTCCATGCATACCAGAGTGAACACAGAACCACTTCTGGCAAGCAGTTCTCCAGAGTCCTTGGTGCTTGGGCCTCAATATTGGACTTGGATCAATCCAAATAGACCTGGTAGCTAGGACCACTTTCGCCAGTGGGTCTCTGAAGTCAAGAAGTGCCTCTCTGGCACAAACCTACTCAATCAGGACAGATACAGGGACTTCATTGCCACTGAAACCAAGAAGAATCTGAATTTACAGTGTTAGATTCACTTTATCAGGTCTCAAGAGCTTCCCTTGGAAGCTGAAACTTGAAGTGATTTTCCTGCCTTCCCACCACCAGATTACTCTCATGGTATACGGGCATCTCCTTTTTATCTGTCTTGAGAAAAGCTGATTGTCAATTAATCGAATAATAAAACAAAAATTGCCTTCAATGAACTAAAGGAGAAATCATCACATAAGAGTTGAGGATACCTAGTTAGAGCTATACTCACTATTCTTTGATGCCTAGAAGAAACTGAAAGGCATTTGGAGCTACCCCCCATTTTAAACTTTTGGAATCATCTATAAAGGATCAGTAAGGAGTGAGTGGCCCCAATGCATGCAGCTCACCAGGGGTGGGTCTACACTGCACCCATAGCTTGAAATAAGCTATGCAATTTGAGCTACGCAAATTGCGTAGCTTATTTAGCGTCTATTTCAAAATAGATTATTTTGAAATTTGGCACTGTCTATATAGTTCCAGATTTCAAAATTGAGCGCTATTTCAAAACATCCCTTAATCCTCATGAAACAAGATTTACTGGGACGTCAGAATAGCGCGCCCGTTACTTTGAAAGCTATTTTGAAATAATGGGCACACTGCCAAGATATGGAAAATGTTATTTTGGGATACAAGAAGTATCCTGAAATAGCACCACTGTCTAGAGATACCCCTTGAAGATTCTGAAAACTCACAGTGCCAGCAACCTGAACCCCAAAAAATATGACACTCAAAAATTAACTGAGTTTTCTTATTGAATCCCATCATTTTTAAGAAACTAAGGGCTTGTCTAATCAAACAATTAGTGCACAGCAAGCTGTGCTGCAAATCTACAGTGCACTACCACGCCATATGCTAGCTGTCCAAGTGGACCCTGGACCTGTGCACAATAGTGCCCGTAGTATTCCACTGACTTACTTCAATTTCAAAGCAAAGATCAAAGCACGCTAAGAAACTCTTAGTGTATGGTAGTAGGTTCATGTGGATAGTGAGTACATGGCCTATGAATGCACTGTAGATTTACATCCCAAGCTTGTCATGCACTAAGTGCTTGTTTAAACAAGTCCAAATAGTTTCTATAATGAATTGAAACACTATTTTAATAAAATGTTAATTAAAGTGTGATGGAATATTTCACAAAAACAAAATTATTAATCAACATATTTATGATTCTCAAATACTTCAGGATTGTGCTAATTAGAATGAACACCATTTCCACTGCAACCATAAACATTTCATAAAACATTCCTGTCAGTCATTGATTATGAAAAGCTAATTTTTCCAAAATCTAAATTTGGCCCCCATTTATACCTAACATCAACTAGGAAAACGCTCATTTACTTACGCTGGAACATCTTCAAATTCCTGTGTCGTTATTAAGGGTGCTTCTTTAATAAACTTTGGCTCTCTTGTGGGTTTCTTTGCATGTTCAGTAACTTTACTTTGTTCTTCAGATTTCACAGTTAGTCCCACAGTGCTGTAAAATGAATGAGAGTTAAGTATAAAAATAGTGGATAATTGGTAGTTATGAACATACCAGTAAGTTACCAGATTTCTGTTCACATAAATCTACAATTCCTTTTCTTCCACTGATTTTCAGGACAAAATGACTATAATTTGCAATAATATATATATTAATTGACTGTTCATTATACCTCTACATTTTTTAGGTTGGAGAGGTTGCTATCAGTTTCAGTTAAAAGTTCAATATACCACTGTATTTCACAGAATGTGAGAAGCTTACTTTTCATCCTTTGCTTGTGGCTCAGAAACATGAGCCAGATTTTATGCTTATCGGTCTCATCATGAGATTTGAAATACCTCAGACTCCTTTAAAACACAGGTTCAAATCTTCGTAAGGCTGACTCTCCATCAGTTTATCCTATCCTACAAATAAAATGAACCTCATGCAGCCTGATGTGTAGTTCTTTCGAAACAGCCAGTCTTTTCTACTCTGAATGAACATTACAAATCCCATGGCACTTTTTAAAAAATCTGTGCCACCAAGCTCCACAGATCAATATCCTTAGGCAAAATCTGTTTCCTTTCTCCCCAGGGTTGTACTACTTGCCAGTTGTCCACTTGACTGTCTCCGTTCTACACATTCTAGGCAGCAATATGAGGAGAAGGCTATATTTCACTGATTTGTGTATCATTTGCTAAGTGCTATGGTATTCTGTGGAATGAACGTTGTCATGTAAACATAAAAAAAAAATTAAACTAAAGTTGAAATGCTATCTAATCAAAGACTGTTTTGCAACTTTGGCCCAAATTTAAGCATGAATGACAGTTCTGGGGCTTCTCTTTGAAGTCTGGAGTTAAAATCTCTTTGAAGCAATATGCATGTTTTAAGGCAGTGGTACCCAGCGCGGTGTCTGCGGGCACCATGGCGCCCGCGGAGTGATCTGGGCCAGCCCCGCCCCCGGACAGGTGGTGCATGGGCGGTGCCGGCCCCTGGGTGCGCAGCGTATGGGTGGCCCCGCCCCCGGGAGCATGGTGCAAGGGCTATGCCAGCCCTGGGAATGCAGCGTATGGGCAGTGATGGCGCCTGGGCGCGCGGCACAGGCATGGTGCTGGCCCCAGGTGCACAGCACAGGGGCAGCGCCATCCCCGGACGCAAAGCACATGGGCGGCCCCGCCCCTGGGTGCGCGGTACATGGGCTGTGCCGGCCCTGGGCTCATGGTGTATAAGCGTCCTTGCCCCTGGGCACGTGGAATAGGAGTGGCACCAGCCCCAGACGCACAGTACATGGGTGACCCTGCCCCCGGGCGCGTAGTGCATGGGCTGTGCTGGCCCCGAGCGTGCGGCATATGGGCGTCCCCGCCCCGAGCACACAGCACAGGAGCAGCGCCGGCCCTGGGAGTGCGGCGCATGGGTGGCGCTGGCACTGCACACGAGGCGCATGGGTGGCCCCGCCCCCGGTGCGTGCGCAGCCCCGTCTCCGGTCACGTGTGCGGCCCCGCCCCCGGGTGCCTGGTGCATGAGTGGCCCCGCTCCGGGCGCCCGGCAGCCCCAAAAGGTTGGGGACCACTGTTTTAAGGTCATTGAGAGACCACACTAATACCAACCCTGGAACTTTCCCTTGCAACAAACCCCGGTGCCAGCTTTGTCTACATATTTACTTGGACCTTACCATGCCAGTTACAACATCAAGAACACATATTCCTGTTCATCCAGAAAAATAATTTATTCCATCATGTGCCTGAAGTGTCAGTCTGCTATGTACATTGGACAAACTTCTCAGACACTTCGCCAAAGAATCAATGCACATAAAACAGACATCAGGCTCTCTCGCAGAGAGAAAACTGTTGCATGCCATTTTAACCAGACTGACCATTCTCTCAATGACCTTAAAACATGCATAAGACAGACTGACCATACCCTCAGTGACCTTAAAATATGCATATTGCGTCAAAGAGACTTTAATTCCAGACTTCAACGAGAAGCTTCTGAATTGTTATTCCTGCTTAAATTTGACACTTTATGTATGGGCCTTAACAAAGATGCTAATTATCTCACCCATTACAAAGATAGCTTCCCCAGTTATCATCCCTAATATCATGATCTCACAGACACTAACTTCCCCCCCTCACCCCATCCTCTGTTCTAATGATTTGTCAATTTTATATGTGTTCACTTTTTTTTTTTAATTGTATCACTTTGGTATATATGGTCGTGCCAATTTTCTTCCACAAATTGATTTGAGGAAGTGGGTCTGGCCCAAGAAAGCTTATCACCTAATAAACCATCTTGTTAGTCTTTAAAGTGCTGAATAGTCCTGTATTTTGTTTCAGCTACACCAGACTAACACGGCTACATCTCTATCACTATTCTAGAAGTGAAAAAGCCTTCCAGACCTATTAGCAGAACATCAAACAGGTGAAAAAGCCATTCAAATGATAATGAAGCCATGTAACATGCCTTTGCCAATCCCCGGGTTATAAGGTCAGTTTCTGAATTTACCATGTTAGTCAACAGAACCTTAGTTTAAAATTTGCTTTAAAAATATTCGTGTGTTGCTGAAAATTATAAAATCACATCTCTAAAAAAATCACTGTCATCCCCTCCCCTGGGCTACTATTGGGCATAAGGACACCAGTGTAATAGTACTATGTAGAGCCCCATAAATCCAAAGAACATCACTGCCTTATCTAGGCAGGTAAGCTTTTGTTTTGTATGTGTGAATATTTCTAACACTGTACAGTACTTGTCTGAATCCCAAAGATTTGCAGCTAATATCTAATACTAGAAGCTAAGATTTTTACACTGCAAATGGAACCAGAACATCTGCCTAGGAGAGTAATACATACCACTTTGGGACTGCTTTGGGCAGATGAGGAGGAATATTTTCACGAAGGTGCTGTGCTTCATTATAGTCCCTCTCAATACACTTCTGCATCTCCTGAAATGAATGATATTGGACTCTATCAGTAGTCTGAAGTTACTGAAAATGGTGCTATCAAGACTGTTCCCTACTCTGGCATGACGAATGCAGGAGTTGGGGGCCTGCAAGAGCACTCCAAAACCTTGCTTCTACAGGCTCTGGTACAACAACTTCCCCACACAAAATCCTAATACCCAGATTTTGGGGGACCCGCTGCCACCACCCAAGTAATTCCAAGAAAATCAGTGAAGAGATCACTTGGGAAATCCCCTCCCTAAGGTAAAACAATCCTCCCTGCCCCAACCTCCGTTTTGCTTGGAGTTGGGAAAAACAGAGGGAATCCACAGACAACAATGGACTCTGCCCTTCTAACTAGGCTCTTAGTCCTACAGACACAACAATCAACCAATACCAGTTAATGAGAAAAAAACAATTTTTTATTATAAAAACAAAACTACAGTTGCAAGCATAGTAAATTGGCTAGATGGAAAGAGACACCATTTGATACAGATAGTCAGGGAAAACACCTGGCTGTAAGGCTTAGTTACAAAAGAGAAAAAAATTAACAAGCTCAGACATGGTTTCCAAACCCCAATAAGGAAAACAATAAACCCTGACGGTCTAGCTAAACTTTTCCCTACTTACACATTTTAAGAAGTCCGTTCTTGGAGAGAGAAGCATCTCCCATCTCTCTCAACACCTGGGAGAAATTGCTCTGATCTCAAACAAAGAAGAGAGAGAGAAAAAAACCCTCTATTCCGGTTTGAAATTCCTACCTGCATTGTTATTGGCTGACTGCCCGACACCTTGATTATGACAGGTACAATGGAGATGGTTCCATTTACTGCATAGATGTGAAGAATGACCCTTTACAAATATGTCCTATTGTGATTAATGAACTTTATTATTTCTTCAATAGAGATCCTCTTTCCTTATTCCTCAGAAACAATCAGTGGAACTTAGAGATTCAACTGCTTTTCATTCTAAATAACCTGAGCCAGTGAAGCTAACAGTGAGCCAGTTATAGTGGGAATAAAATCTAAAAAGAAGGTGGCCACTATAGAGAATAAAATTCTGCTTGCTACTAGCCAGAGGGAGAAAACAGGAAGAATAAAACTGCCTGCAATTAAGAGTTAACAAAGGAGTGCCAAGTACTTCCCATTAGCATGCAAAAGAAGCCAAACTTCTGAGGGGAAGGGACCAATGAGGTTATACTCCAATCTAACAGCTGTGAAATTTAAGATAAATTCTGCTTGTATGTCATAATTTCATTATTGTTTCTAACTTTTTATTACTAAGGACAGTTTTATGAAAACAGGAACTTTGTTTCTGAAGCTTTGCCTCTTCCTGTTTTTCTCTTAACCTGATGTTATAATTGTGTGTGACATGATTATTTCCACAGCAACTAATTGCTTTTAGAGAATCATTTTCCTACCAACACTGCCAGAAACCATCTTGTAATAAGATTTCAGTTTCAATAACTTGATTGACATGACAAGATACTCAAGTTGCCAGACTTACTAAACCAATCTCAAGGCATGGGGAAGAATGACAGTAAGTACAGAAGTTTTATACAATGGATCTATTTTACATTACAATCTAGTTCTGATCAGGTGGCAGGATGCCTTGTCTCTGCATCATAAAGCTTTTTTTCCTTGCATGATTTTACCATTTCCTTGTAATAGTCCTGTAATTAAGTTTGACTATAACTGCAATTTAAGAAAAACAGAATGTGACAGTATTTTCATAATAGAACTATATTCATTAGAGAATATAAATAATAAGAGCAAAACCTTGAAAAGGTCACATATAGGCGACTATTCCTGTATGAACTGTGGGACCCAAAGTATGGACAAATCATTTTATTGTCAGAACCCAGATGAGAGTGCTAGAAAATAGCGGTAAAATAAAAAAATATTCTAGGCAGTGACATACAAACAAGCACATAGCTTGCTCCACTGCCTTAAAAAATCCTGACTTCAGTAATGATTTGAGCAGATAAAGTAGACAATTATAGACATACATTTCAACTTGGGTGCAGAATAAGACTACGTGGGGCTAGCTCCACCAGGGCGAAAGATGAGTCCATTCATAGGCAATTTTCCTAGTCTGAAGAGGGAAGACTTGATCCAAATCTCATTTGCTTGGTCCCAAAATGCACGAACGAGTGATGAATATTTTGTTGATGCAACAAATGCATTATACTTCTCTACTGAACTCACTTGCTATAACATTCTCATACTTCAAAGACATACCACTTAAGGACCAAGAAAGGGATCATTACAGTGATCACAGGGTTCATGATTCTAAAGAATGGTAAATGAGAAAACAGCAAAATAAAAATGTATTTCAAGAAGGCAGACTTGAGTAACTCTGAGAGCTGGTAGGTAAGGTCCCAAAACTAAGAGGTAAAACAATTGAAGACAGCAGTTTTTCAAAAGGACTGTGACGGGCCCGCTGGGACCCGCACTGCCCTGGGGGGACCTCACCCGCTCGCCCTGCAGAGGAGCAGAGCAGGGCAGGGAGGAGCAGCGGCACGCCCAGGTCCCAGCCCGCCGCATCCGGGGTTGGGCACGGTGAGATACTGAGAGCCCGGCCAGGGAGAAGGCAGGGTGGAACAACGCCAGTCCGCTCCAGCGACTGCCGCGTCACCAGGCGGCCCCGAAAGGCCCTCAGGGCAGAGTCCCGTAATCACCAACAGACATCCCAGGGCGTGAGGACGCCCAGGGGGCAAGCTAACGCGGCGTCTCAGCCGCGTCCGGGACATTCGAAAAGCAGAGACAGAGGGGGGGCTCCGGGACATTCGAAAAGCAGATACAGAGGGGGGGCTACGGAGACAGGAGCCGCGGGCCAGCATAACAGAGGGGGACCGTCCCCCCTCAGGGGAGAAGCGTGCAGGGGAACGCCTGTACAAGGCAGAACCCAGCCGAGCCGGAGGAGGAGGACGGCGGACGGATAAGTCCCTGGGACCAACCGGCGGGGCTTTTAGCCAGAGAGGGGGTTAGGAAGCAGCCCAGGGCAGAGCGTTTCTGGTGCCTGTGGGCTGACAAGCTTCAGGATGGAACCCTGTCAGCTGGAGAAGGGATTTACCTCTCCAACCCTTAGGGCCCCAGGCTGGGACCCGGTGGAGAGGGCGGGCCTGGGTCCCCCTACCCAGCCCACACACACACACACACACTCCGCCTTCACCCATGTGACTCTAGGCGAGGAGCCTCGGTGAACACAGGATCTCAGGTCACTCGAACCCGGACCCCGGGGAGGAGCCAGGGAGAAGAGGCAAGGGACCCCGTAACATTTACAAAGACCAGACGGGTCCGCTGGGCCCCTCTCTCGTGGTTGGGAGAGGATGCTTGTACCCTTAAAATCCATTACAAATTTAGACCCCTAACAAAGACTAGACGGTGGGTCTGCTGGGTCTTACCCCTTCCCCTCGCCCCAGACAGGGGAGGAGGGTGGTGCTCTCACCCTTAAAATCCATCACAAGGACATTATTAAAAGTGCAAGACTAAACAATTCCACTGCATAGAAAAGATAGGAAGTATGGCAAGAAACCACACTGGCTTCCATGGGAGATGTTGAATTATCTAAAAATCAAAAACACTTAACATCTATGCCAGGAAAGATAATGGAGCAAATAATTAAGGAGTTCATCTGCAAACATCTGCACGATAATATGGCAATAAACAACAGTCAGCATGGATTTGTCAAGAACAAATCATGTCAAACTAATCTGACAGCTTTCTTTGATAGGATAACAAGTCTTATGAATAAGGGGGAAGCAGCAGATATGGTATACCTAGACTTTAGTAAAGCATTTGATACAGTCTCACATGACCATCTTATGAATAGATTAAGAAAACACAACCTAGATGGAGCTACTATAAGGAAGGTGCATAACTGATTGGATAACTGCTCTCAGAGAGTAGTTATTAATGGCTCATAGTTATGCTAGAAGGGGATAACAAACGGGTTCCACAGTGGTCTGTTTCGGGATTTGTTTCTGTTCAGTATCCTCATTGACGATTTAGATATTGGCATAGAAAGTATGCTTATAAAGTTTGCAGATGATACCAAGCTGGGAAGGATTGCAAGTGCTTTGAAAGATAGGGTCATAATTCAAAATGATCTGAACAAACTGGAGAAATGGTCTGAGGTAAATAGGATGAAGTTTAATAAGGACAAATGCAAAGTACTCCACTTACGAAGGAATAATCAGTTTCATACATACAGAAAGGGAAATGACTATCTAGGAAGGAGTACTATAGAAAGGGATCTAGGGGTTATAGCGGCCCACTAATTAAATACGAGTCAACAGTGTGACCTGTTACAAAAAAGCAAACATGATTCTGGAATGCATTAACAGGAGTATTGTGAGCAAGACACAAGTCGTCATTCTTCTACTCTACACTGCGCTGATTAGGCCTCAGTTGGAGTATTGTGTCCAATTCTGGGCACCACATTTCAGGAGAAATTGGAGACGGTCCAGAGAACAAAAAAATGATTAAAGGTCTAGAAAACATGACCCCTGAGGAAAGACTGAAAGAACTGGGTTTGTTTAGTTTGGAAAAGAGAAGACTGAAAGGGGACATGATAGCAACTTTTAAGTACCTAAAAGGTTGTCACAAAGAGGAGGGAGAAAAAATATTCTTAACCTCTGATGATCGGACAAGAAGCAATGGGCTCAAATTGGAGTAAGGGAGAATTAGGTTGCACATTAGGAAAAACTTCCTAACTGTCAGGGTGGTTAAACACTAGAATACATGGTCTAGGGATGTCGTGGAATCTCCACACAGGAGATATTTAAAACCAGGTTTGATAGACATCTATCAGGGACTATCTAGATCAGGGCTACTCAACACATGGCCTATTTGTTTGCAGCCTGCGGTGCAGTTTGGTTTTATGCAGGGCTCAACACATGGCCTGTGGGTGGGAGCCAAAACAAGAGTAGTCAATATAATGGTCTTTTGCTTATATGCATTTTAGTAGTTAAATTTTATCTCGTGTTAGTACTCTTCCTCTCTAATTGCCTACTAATGGTTCTTATCTGCCTTTTCTGACTATCCAGTCTTTCGGTGTTGTTTTTCCTGTTACATTCCAGCTCGGCTTCCCCTTGATATTTTTTAATACTCACTGCCTCTTGTTTCCCCCCACTCCCATTTTTTTTCCTTCTTCCTCCATCCCTTGTCCTCTGTGTGAAATAAGCTATTCACATATATATTTGCATGTATATGCAACCACACTTAAATTGCAGTCCTCGGCATGTGCTGAATATCACTGGGGACCCTGGGGCTTCCAAAATTGAGTAGCCCTGATCTAGATGGTCCTACTGTAAGAGCAGGGGACTAGACTCGATAATTTCTTGAGGTCCCTTCCAGTTCTAGTACTCTGTGATTCTGGACTGGTCTGAGGGATTCCTTTAAAGCAGTGGTTCTCAAAGTGCGGTCCACAACTGACTTGCAGGTGGGCCGAGGGCTCATGGCTCGCCCCTGCTCCTGCAGCAGGGAACCTACATTGGTGCTCCCAGGCACTGCCCCCCACTGCTATTTCTATTGGCCATATTTCCAGCAAATGGGAGCAGCGGGGAAAGCCTCCCAGCAAGCCATTTCCTGTATTACCACTGCCCTTGCCCCCAGCTGAGGGAGCCACTTCCTTCCCCCACAGCCTGCAAGGCTTCTTCCACAATGAGAAGCTGGTGATGGTGCTCCCACCTGGGAGGGGAAGAAAGTGGTTCCCCCAAAAGGGGGAAGGGGGAGCAGCAGCACAAGAAATCACTTGGAGGCTTTCCCCGCTGCTCCCATTGACTGGAATCATGTCAAATGGGAGCAGCAGGAGGCGGTACTTGGGAGTAGTGGGAGGCACGAAGGAAAGGAAGTGCTCCCCCTCCTCCTCCTACCAAGATCCCAAACCCCCAGCCTGCACCAACACCCTATCTCCCTGCCAGACCTCCTCATACTCTGCCTGTTCCTGCACCCAATCTCCACCCCCAGTCCGCTCCTCCACCCTACCTGTCAGCCAGATGCCCCCTCTACTCTCTCCAGCAGCCACTTTGTCATCATGGGTGGTTGGCTGGTGGTCCATGGAAAGGTCTGTGTTGAGCAGGATGGATCACAGGCCAGAATGTTTGAGAACCACTGCTTTAAAGCTTTCCAGTTTTATATTAAGATGCTACAAACAAAACAAAATAAGATTACCTTAAGTGAATTCTTTAGTCTTTCTTGTTTCTCAACTTCTATTTCCATTTTATTTAGGAGTTCATTTGCGAGAAACATCTCATGCCCTATTTTGCAGAGCACAGATTTCAAGGATGGCTCCTGACCTGTCAAAGAGACAGAGAGAGAGATAGAGAGAATGAGAATGCAAAATAAAAGAAAAAACAAAACACAAGTTCAATACCATCTTAGCAAGGAGATAAGAGCTGGAAATAAAACATTAATCTACAGTTAGATCTTAGCAAAACAGTAAAATATTAATCAAACTAAATCTCTCTCACACATATATAAAAGTCTGGGTTAAAAAAAATACTATTAAAATTGCAAAGTCAAGCACTCAGAAGTTATGAAATACCAGAATTAGGGCTGCCTGAAACAACCTGAATGTTGCCGGGTCACTGAGCACAGCTGGCCCTCCTGACTCCTGCCTCTGCTAGGCTAAGATAAAATTGGAGACCCTGGGGTTCAGCAACCACTGTGTACAACTACTACCTTAAATTCCTCTCCTCCAACTCTATCCTCAGCCCTTTTGCATCTGGCTTCCGATGTCTCCCTCCAGTGAAAGTGCCTTCACTAAAGTTTCTAATGATCACTTCATGGCTATATTTCAACTCACCCCTAATATCGTATGGTGGAAAAACCAGTTCGACAGAGAGGGGTCAGATTTCTATCCATCTACCCATAGTGTTAAAGGAGACTTAAGCTTTTTTCTTTTTTGCTTGCCATAACCATATGCGGTATTAACATTATTAAACGCTCTCCCTTCTGCCCAGCAGCAGAACTAACCCTTTTGTTAGAAGTTCGACACACACACACCAAGAACTTATCATAATAGACACTAATCTACTCTCTTATGTTTACAAGTGATCCACTGGGCGTTAGAGTAGATACATTTTAGGTGGGGTAAGGGAGAACCTAGTGTACTGCTGGCCATGATGTATCTGTTCTGTAGATAAACCATCAGTCTAAGAGGCTATCAGAGAAGAACCATTCAGTTGCCCAGATCCTCTGATATCTCCTCTAACTCATTGTTACTGTTTCTTTGATCCCAAATCCTTGTCCCTACTTTTTTCAGGTTGTCCTCCATATTTTGTTGTCTTCTGTGTCTATTAAGCTCTCCTCTACTCAAGAAAGCCCCAGCTACTTCTGGTAGTTAAAATAGACTGGCATGTGACACAAACACCAAATCCATGGTCGGTGGTCTCAGATAAACACAGTACCTTTCCAAAAAAAAAATAAATAAAAATAAAAGGATACAGCTATTCAAGAAGATCAGCATCAACAAAAATGATCCCAAAGCTGTACGTAAGTAAGAGGAAAATAGCATCTTGAAATGATCATCAGATGGTCAATTCTTGCAGGAAAGTCTTTTGCTGGTATAATTTATCTACCCAAACATACTATGGATGTTAGATAGTAATTAATTGAATAATTGTGTAACCACTTCAAATTTTAAAAGTTACACAATTATTCTATAGTCTCTGGGGCTAGGGGCTGGCAGCCAGTGCACTCTCATCTCCACTAACAGGGAGCCCCCTGCCATCCTGCACTGTATTAGAGGCAACAGCGCAGGGTTGTAGGCAGAGCTGGCCCACGAGGACAGCCAGTTTAAAAACTGGCTCCCCACGCAGACCAGCTCCCACCTGCTGCCCCACACCACTGCCTCTGATACAGAGGCAGCAGTGTGAGGCAGCAGCCTCTGTTCATGGGGAGTACACCAGCATCCCATAGAAAAGCCTCTGTCTGCAGCAAGTCTGGGACTACCACAGACAGAGGCAGTTCCACAGCAGCTTCCCCTGCCTCCTGTCCCATGCTGCTGCCTCTAATAGAAGCAGCAACATGGGGGGGGGGGGACCTGCTCCTGCCTCCCACCATTGCTATCTCTGATACAAAAGCAGCAAGGGTGACAGCAGGTATAGTTGATAGGATTAACCACTAAGCCTAGGCTTTCAGTTAATCGTGTAATCAATAACACATTAACTTCCCTAAAACACACTCCCCTGAATACGAAAACACCTACAGAACTCTCTTACCCATGTTTCTTAACTGAAGAGTCTTTTTGATTGTTAAAATCTTTGTGTTGATGTGAGAGCATAAATCTTCCAAATCTGAAGAGGCCATATTCCCACTACTGCCCTAGAAACAGAAAAATACATTGATACCTTTAAGATATCCACATTGTAAGCACAAGGTTTTTGCTACACTTTGTGCTGTGTATGGCCCCAAGTGCAATTGGATGACCATGACAATGCACGATGACAATGGACAGCAATTGGCTCTTAAATGACAAAAAGTACATACTTCACCAGTGGATAGAACATTCCAGTAACTTCCTAATCACCTCCAATATTTCTGAAGAAGCAACTAATGCTCTTCCAGAACACCCACTTACAGAACTTGCACTAGCTCCTACCTTGTATGAGACCATAACAGCAGATGTCACAAGGAAAAACACCTGTCTTTTGATCCTTCCATGATGGGATGGCTAGAGATGTGGAAAATGGTGAGATATCAAATCCTTTCCCAACTCCAACGACACCAGACAAGGCTGAATGCTGACCCCACATTCTTTCTGAACCCTTTTTCCCCCACTGTATCTATGGATGTATTTCATGACTTTGACAGAGCATTTATATACTTCTACACCAATGGGAAGCTGTTCAATTTGCATTTTAGTTTCACAATCAGTTTCAGTTGAGAAAACTAAAGTACCATACCTATATATGCTAGGGTAGTGTTTCCCAATTTTATTTATCGAGGGGGGGAAAAAAACCCCACTACCGGGGAAAATTTGTCAAAAAAAGGAGACCTGTGGGCCAAAATGCGGTCACGCATGTCCCAAGCGGACTTTGGAAACGCAGAGTGGCAGCAGGGAAGGGGAGGTGAGATTTCTGAAAGCTGGCGGGAAACCAGAGAAGGGGCCGGCTCCTCTCTGTCTCTTTAAGGGGGGGCGGGGGAGAGAAGTGATCAAGTTCGCATGAAACCCTTACTTTCACTTTGTGGAACCCTGGGGTTCTGTGAAGCACTATTTGGGAAACACTGTGCTAGGGGAATGCTCATACCTACCTTAGTATTAAATCAACTGAGCTCCTCAAGATCATGGAGAAGTTTTGCTACCAAGGGGAAATGGCATCACAGAAAGCCACAACTGAGGAGATTGCCCATCACTTATCCAAGGCCTGCTTCTCATCTGAAATGAATCACTCCCCCCACCTATGGAATGATAGGGGTGTCAAAATAAGCAATAAGCTAAATTTCTATTATTCTTCCAACCCTTCTATGTGGTTGTTTAATGTGGACAACATATCACAGGTTCATAGATGCTTTCTTTGGTCTGTTTGCAGGGTCAATTTGTGGGACATAATGAAATTCTTAATTGTTGTTGGATATCTAACATTCAAAGAAAGCTCATAAAAGTTCTGCTGTATTGGTCCGGGCATCTTGTTCATATGGTCAATTGATACAGATTCAAGGCCATACTTATGGTCAGCTAAAGCAAAGCACCCAGTTTCATGGTGGCCAATACAAAACAATAGTCAAACTTGAAAGCATGTCAGACTGACCCCAACAACTAGGAAGGAACAGTCCATGACAGGGAAAGCTAGCAGAAGATACGTTATGTTGCCATTAACTGCTTTGAACAAAAACAAATTAACGCCATATATGAAAAATTTGAACAGCACAAAATAAAGTTGCTACATACTGCACTTATTATGGACAGTCTTGTGTGCCCACATATAGCTGCATTGGTATGAATTCCCCTATATATATTCATCCATGGCATCTGCTGAATTCTTATACATTAACATCAATATGAACGCCATCATCACAGACCTTTGTTTTGCAAAGAGAATTTAAAATATACATTACTTAGACAAAAAAGGAATTTCATCTAGCTTTTCCTGAAACAGCAGACATAGTAAACGCTATACAGGCAGTCCCCGACTTACGTCGGATCCGCACTTACAAACGGGACTTTTCTCGCCCCGGAGCTCACAGGCAGCGGATCGCCACCCGTGTCCTCCGGGGCGAGAAAAGCTTCTCCCGGTCTCCCTACTCTGCTGGGGGGGTCCAGCAAAGCCGCTGGACCCCCCAGCAGACCAGGGACACCCGAGCAAAGCCGCCCAGGCGGGGGGAGTCCTGCTGCCTGGGCGGCTTTGCTCGTTTGCCCCGGAGCAAAGCCGCCCAGGCAGCGGCTTTGCTCGGGTGTCCCTGGTCTGCTGGGGGGTCCAGCGGCTTTGCTGGACCCCCCCAGCAGACCAGGGAGACTGGGAGAAGCTTTTCTCGCCCTGGAGGACACGGGTGGCGACCCGCCGCCCATGAGCTCCGGCCAAGAAAAGCCCCGTTCGTAAGTGCGGATCCGACATAAGTCGGATCCGCGTAAGTCGGGGACTGCCTGGCTATTTCAAAGGAATAGACAACACCTGTCCACTCAAGTAAATTGTCCAAATACAAACAAAATATTTATAAGCGCCCATTTAACAAAATTTAATGTCAATATTATTATTACTATAGTCTTAATAAGTAACACTGTATATGATTCTTTTCAGGAAAAGAAAAGCTTTTTGCTTGCTGGAACAATAACTAACCAACACCTTGTGCTAAGGAGAAGCATTATAGCTTCACACATTAAGCCTGATCTGTGGTACAAGAGGGAAACTGAGGCACTGCTGAAACTCACCAGCGGCTGACTACAGGAAGCCTCTGCCCCAGGCTTCCTGGAATCAGCCGCTGATCAGTTTCAGCAGCACCTGACTTGGGGACGCCTGGGTTTCTTAAGTTGAATGTGTATGTAAGTCAGAACTGGCATCCAGATTCAGCCGCGGTTGAAACTGATCAGTTTCAGCAGTGGCTGACACCAGTTCCGACTTACATACAGATTCAACTTAAGAACAAACCTACAGTCCCTATCTTGTACGTAACCCGGGGACTGCCTGTATAGGATAGCAAAATTAAAACAGGGCAGAGAGCATAATGGAATAGACGGTAAACTAGAGAAGTGTGCTTGAACTCTAGACACAAAATGTTAATATTAGTCCTTGGATTTATGGGACTGTACTGGCTCCCTCTGGTGGTTTAGCGGTACCTGAAAACGAAGGGATTTGTTGTGTTTGTTTTTATAATGCAAATACTAACCCATGGTATAGCCAAATATGCCTGATAAAGCTCATACATTTGAGAAGTCTTTCACACATTGCCACAGAATTGGTAAAATGTCAGACTCATATAAGACACACTTATTTAAGAAAATTCAGAACAGAAAAATCTAGACTCTAAATATAGATTCCTAGTCAAAATACTAAAAAGAAATTTAACTTGGAAATACATATAGGGAAAAAATTAAGAAAATGCTCTGAGGTTTAAGAAACAAATGCTTGAGACCCATGATTCATTGCATGAGGCTGGGGGCATTCTTAAAGCATAATGGATAGTATGAACACATTGAAACTCTATATTTTGAAGTATACATGACATAATTCTCCTACTTACCCTACAACTAGCCAAAGGCACTACTCCTCACCAACACGTGCACAAATTCAGAGTTTCTAAACTAAATTATTTTGTATATTACAAGTCAAAAATAATTTCTCCACAAATATTCATGTTTATAATCCCACGTCTCTCAAACGTATTGCCCAATTTGCCTCATTTTCCAGGGGGGCAGTGGGGAGAGATGAATCCTGCCATAAGATCAAATATATTATTTCAGGTAGATGATTTTTTTTTTTTTGGCTAATCATAACCAGAGAAAGAGAACTGTTAAAAGTGGCAGATAATTTGTACTGTAGATACAGCCTTTGGATTTATTGGCTCATAATTTTATGGTCAGTCTATTCAATCACAGTGACCTATTCTGACACAACAGTACCCTATTTAAAAGGACAAAAACAGCTGCCAGAGTATTTACAACCAGGGGCCCTGAACTTTGGATATCACATCTCCCCCTTTTTTGAAGCAGCCCAATTCTGTTAATCGTCAGGGCAGACTACTATGCTCACTGTCTCCTCGAGGTGTTTAGGCCTGTGATACATTTCAAAAGCTGGCATTGTAGTTGGAGTGCTTTTTGTTTTCTCTCCTGGTGTTGGAGAACATCCTGGGATATATTTTCATTTGTGTTAGTATTTACACTTTTATTTTATGGTGGTCACCTAAAGTCATAGGGAATTTTTTAGTAAATAAAAGTCCATAGAATGCTAAAGGATAAAAACTCTGTAAATACAATGGTAAGTCAAAAAGTATCTGCAATGTATTTATTAAAATTAACACAACAGCAATACAGAACTCAGAAGTGTGTCATTTTTCAACATAGTTCCCCTGCTTTTCAACACACTTGGTCTAGCGTCGCACAAGTTTTTGTATGCCTTCAGAAAAATATGTTTCTGGCTGGGTGGCAAGCCATGTATGCACCACCTCCTGCAAATCATGGTCACTGGCAAAATGACAGCCTCTTAAAGCATCTTTGAGGGGGTCTCTCTGATGTTTGCTCTCCGGCTCATAGTGGTAGATCCATGTTTCATCACCAGTGACAATGAGACTCAAAAAAGCGTTACCTTCCTCGTGATACCGGTTCAAAAGGCAGTTACAGATGTCCAAACGATTACGTCTGTGCTGTTCCGTGAAGTGTTTGGGAACCCACCTTGCACAAACTTTACTGAAGCAAAGTTTGTGGTGGATGATTTCATAGGCAGAACCGTGACTAATCTGCAGTTGGTTTGCCACTTCATCGACAGTCACCCTGTTTGCGAGAATCTGCGAGCAGACGTGTTCAATGTTCCTTTCAGTAGTCGATGTTGAGGGGTGCCCTGATCGTTCTTTGTCAGTGACACCTGTTCGGCCATTTTTTAACATATCAATCCATTCGTACACGCTTCGCTGCGGCAAAACACTGTCACCGTATTGTGCTGATAGTCTTCAATGAATTTCCGCATTTTACACCTTCAGCCCACAAAAATCGAATCACTGCATGCTACTCTTCTTTGGTCCATGTGGTAAGTGGAGCGGCCATGTTGACCCCATTAGTGGTGAAGAACATCTGAACAGTCAAGGCCAAATATTTCACTACAATATAGGGAGGTTCCGTGCTTACGGTTGCGCACGAATTCAGCAGTTGGGACAATTGCAAAAAAAAGATATGAACACTTTGTGGATACTTTTTGACTTACCCTCATATATTCAGAAAAGAATTATAAGAGAGACCAAATGATTTACTACCAATATACAGACATTATGCAAGATATACAATAGTTTGCTACTATGCAACTACAGAGGATGTGGTGAAGACTAGGACTTTAACAGGGTTCAAAAAAGATTCATGGAGGTTAGGTCCATCAATGGCTATTAGCCAGGATGGGTAGGAATGGTGTCCCTAGCCTCTGTTTTGTCTGGAGATGGATGACAGTAGAGGGATCACGTGATGATTACTGGCTGTGTTCCCTCCCTCTGGGGCATCTGGTATTGGCCACTGTCAGCAGACAGGATACTGGGCTAGATGGACCTTTGGTATAACCCAGTATGGCCATTTTTATGAGTATCTGGAGTGTACTTTACTGCTAATTACACCTAAGATGTTTATTCCTATCAAACTTGCTTCCTGTTTTCTTACAAAATCTTTTACTGTATATTCATTCTTGCTCACACTGAATAATCAATCACTTCTAGAAAATATATCTATTTGTAATTAATGCTGATATATTCTACTTCAAACCCCATATGCTCTCACTAGCCTTTCAAATTCCACAGGTCAGAAGAGCTAACTTTTCACACACTGAAATGGTAAGTGGTGTTTGTGAATTAAGATTAGGGCCAATCAAACCATATTTGTTCAGGCTGAGCTTCTACTGAAGGCCCACCACAGCTCTTTCGAAGCAATCAAAGGTTGATTTTGCATACCTATATATTTACTATGGATGATGATAATGGTAATACCATTGAGAATGCACCTGGCTGCTCTGTCAATATTCCACATTTGCTCCCAGTTCTAGCAGCATTAAGCCCATTGATGTCACACTGTGCTAAGTCATATTTTTTTTAAAAGGCCGTCAAAACAGTTAGGGCGCTCTCTCATCTTCTCAACCTAGTACAGAGCTCCCGAGTTAAGTCAGCCAAGTAACTCTGAAGTGGACATTCTTATTTAAATAGCAGAATACTTTCCTAAGTTAGTACATATCCTTTGCCAACATACTACTTGTAGGAAAGTAGCATGACTATTTAGATTTAAGTTTTTTATTTTTCTGATGTATATAATGAGCTTTAGTTAAGTTTATCTGCCTGTCTGATACAAATAAAGTGTTTTCTTAACATTCAGGGTACATCAAAGTTTTGATGTGACATATTAGATAAAATTATTCTTGTAATCCAAGTTAACACAGATCATTCAGAACAGGAGAAAAACAGTCTAGATTAGATTTAGATTACAATCTAAAATATAATTGTACAAAAAAAAAATCTAGGTAAAGTATTATCTGTTAACAGCTGCCTGGTGCATAAGAGGAGATGTATAAAACCAGTAAAGCCACCAGGCTCTTATTACATTTAAAATGCAGAGGTGCAGCAATCCCATATCAGCATAAGCTGGGAATGCTTGGCCCCAACTCGAGTGAGCTCCAGCAGCCCCTATTCACAATAGCCCAGGCTGGCCACTTCCCAAAACTACCACAGCCACAGGGTGGCCACCTGTCCACAGCAGCGTCCCCTAACACCCACCTGCTGCCTCTGATAGAGGCAGTGTGGGGGAGAAGAGAGGTGGCAACAAGGGAGGGGGGAAGGAAACAAGTAGTCAGGTACTCAACTCAACTGATAAGCTTAACCTTACATCCCTTACTTGCTTACATCTCTGGTTTGTACAATAATGAAAAGAAATTGGGATAGGAGTAAGAAGGGACTGTGAACATCCCATTCCCCTCTTTACATTATACCACCTACCTCTTAGCACGTGGATGCACACACCGATGTTGATACCAGTGTGACACAGAACCTTTCTGGTCTTGTATTGCAGCTGCTCCTAGCCAGGCCTATCCCCTTCTCCTCAGCCTATCAAAAGAAAGGGTAGCACAGAGCCCAAAGGAAGGACCCTCCCTGGGACTGCAGAACAGGAAGGGACACAGCAGGGAAAGGGGCAGGGAGAAAAGTGCACAGAGCTACGCAGTGGCACAGTGTGTGCCTGGCAGAGGGGAGGGATCAGTTGTCCTATGCCCCTCCCCAAGCCAGATGGAGAAGAGAGGTAGGCTCCTCCATCCATAGCCATGTGGGGACCAGCCCCTTCCCGGCCTCCTTGCCAGTCCCTCTCACACACACATATGCCCAAGGCGCCCCCAAAGTCAAGTGGGGACCAAGCCCTCCCCCGCCTCCTCGCCAGCCCCTCACCCCCCCAGGCACCCCCATAGCCATGTGGGGACCGAGCCCTCCCCCGCCTCCTCGCCAGCCCCTCACCCCCCCAGGCACCCCCATAGCCATGTGGGGACCGAGCCCTCCCCCGCCTCCTCGCCAGCCCCTCACCCCCCCAGGCACCCCCATAGCCATGTGGGGACCGAGCCCTCCCCCGCCTCCTCGCCAGCCCCTCACCCCCCCAGGCACCCCCATAGCCATGTGGGGACCGAGCCCTCCCCCGCCTCCTCGCCAGCCCCTCACCCCCCCAGGCACCCCCATAGCCATGTGGGGACCGAGCCCTCCCCCGCCTCCTCGCCAGCCCCTCACCCCCCCAGGCACCCCCATAGCCATGTGGGGACCGAGCCCTCCCCCGCCTCCTCGCCAGCCCCTCACCCCCCCAGGCACCCCCATAGCCATGTGGGGACCGAGCCCTCCCCCGCCTCCTCGCCAGCCCCTCACCCCCCCAGGCACCCCCATAGCCATGTGGGGACCGAGCCCTCCCCCGCCTCCTCGCCAGCCCCTCACCCCCCCAGGCACCCCCATAGCCATGTGGGGACCGAGCCCTCCCCCGCCTCCTCGCCAGCCCCTCACCCCCCCAGGCACCCCCATAGCCATGTGGGGACCGAGCCCTCCCCCGCCTCCTCGCCAGCCCCTCACCCCCCCAGGCACCCCCATAGCCATGTGGGGACCGAGCCCTCCCCCGCCTCCTCGCCAGCCCCTCACCCCCCCAGGCACCCCCATAGCCATGTGGGGACCGAGCCCTCCCCCGCCTCCTCGCCAGCCCCTCACCCCCCCAGGCACCCCCATAGCCATGTGGGGACCGAGCCCTCCCCCGCCTCCTCGCCAGCCCCTCACCCCCCCAGGCACCCCCATAGCCATGTGGGGACCGAGCCCTCCCCCGCCTCCTCGCCAGCCCCTCACCCCCCCAGGCACCCCCATAGCCATGTGGGGACCGAGCCCTCCCCCGCCTCCTCGCCAGCCCCTCACCCCCCCAGGCACCCCCATAGCCATGTGGGGACCGAGCCCTCCCCCGCCTCCTCGCCAGCCCCTCACCCCCCCAGGCACCCCCATAGCCATGTGGGGACCGAGCCCTCCCCCGCCTCCTCGCCAGCCCCTCACCCCCCCAGGCACCCCCATAGCCATGTGGGGACCGAGCCCTCCCCCGCCTCCTCGCCAGCCCCTCACCCCCCCAGGCACCCCCATAGCCATGTGGGGACCGAGCCCTCCCCCGCCTCCTCGCCAGCCCCTCACCCCCCCAGGCACCCCCATAGCCATGTGGGGACCGAGCCCTCCCCCGCCTCCTCGCCAGCCCCTCACCCCCCCAGGCACCCCCATAGCCATGTGGGGACCGAGCCCTCCCCCGCCTCCTCGCCAGCCCCTCACCCCCCCAGGCACCCCCATAGCCATGTGGGGACCGAGCCCTCCCCCGCCTCCTCGCCAGCCCCTCACCCCCCCAGGCACCCCCATAGCCATGTGGGGACCGAGCCCTCCCCCGCCTCCTCGCCAGCCCCTCACCCCCCCAGGCACCCCCATAGCCATGTGGGGACCGAGCCCTCCCCCGCCTCCTCGCCAGCCCCTCACCCCCCCAGGCACCCCCATAGCCATGTGGGGACCGAGCCCTCCCCCGCCTCCTCGCCAGCCCCTCACCCCCCCAGGCACCCCCATAGCCATGTGGGGACCGAGCCCTCCCCCGCCTCCTCGCCAGCCCCTCACCCCCCCAGGCACCCCCATAGCCATGTGGGGACCGAGCCCTCCCCCGCCTCCTCGCCAGCCCCTCACCCCCCCAGGCACCCCCATAGCCATGTGGGGACCGAGCCCTCCCCCGCCTCCTCGCCAGCCCCTCACCCCCCCAGGCACCCCCATAGCCATGTGGGGACCGAGCCCTCCCCCGCCTCCTCGCCAGCCCCTCACCCCCCCAGGCACCCCCATAGCCATGTGGGGACCGAGCCCTCCCCCGCCTCCTCGCCAGCCCCTCACCCCCCCAGGCACCCCCATAGCCATGTGGGGACCGAGCCCTCCCCCGCCTCCTCGCCAGCCCCTCACCCCCCCAGGCACCCCCATAGCCATGTGGGGACCGAGCCCTCCCCCGCCTCCTCGCCAGCCCCTCACCCCCCCAGGCACCCCCATAGCCATGTGGGGACCGAGCCCTCCCCCGCCTCCTCGCCAGCCCCTCACCCCCCCAGGCACCCCCATAGCCATGTGGGGACCGAGCCCTCCCCCGCCTCCTCGCCAGCCCCTCACCCCCCCAGGCACCCCCATAGCCATGTGGGGACCGAGCCCTCCCCCGCCTCCTCGCCAGCCCCTCACCCCCCCAGGCACCCCCATAGCCATGTGGGGACCGAGCCCTCCCCCGCCTCCTCGCCAGCCCCTCACCCCCCCAGGCACCCCCATAGCCATGTGGGGACCGAGCCCTCCCCCGCCTCCTCGCCAGCCCCTCACCCCCCCAGGCACCCCCATAGCCATGTGGGGACCGAGCCCTCCCCCGCCTCCTCGCCAGCCCCTCACCCCCCCAGGCACCCCCATAGCCATGTGGGGACCGAGCCCTCCCCCGCCTCCTCGCCAGCCCCTCACCCCCCCAGGCACCCCCATAGCCATGTGGGGACCGAGCCCTCCCCCGCCTCCTCGCCAGCCCCTCACCCCCCCAGGCACCCCCATAGCCATGTGGGGACCGAGCCCTCCCCCGCCTCCTCGCCAGCCCCTCACCCCCCCAGGCACCCCCATAGCCATGTGGGGACCGAGCCCTCCCCCGCCTCCTCGCCAGCCCCTCACCCCCCCAGGCACCCCCATAGCCATGTGGGGACCGAGCCCTCCCCCGCCTCCTCGCCAGCCCCTCACCCCCCCAGGCACCCCCATAGCCATGTGGGGACCGAGCCCTCCCCCGCCTCCTCGCCAGCCCCTCACCCCCCCAGGCACCCCCATAGCCATGTGGGGACCGAGCCCTCCCCCGCCTCCTCGCCAGCCCCTCACCCCCCCAGGCACCCCCATAGCCATGTGGGGACCGAGCCCTCCCCCGCCTCCTCGCCAGCCCCTCACCCCCCCAGGCACCCCCATAGCCATGTGGGGACCGAGCCCTCCCCCGCCTCCTCGCCAGCCCCTCACCCCCCCAGGCACCCCCATAGCCATGTGGGGACCGAGCCCTCCCCCGCCTCCTCGCCAGCCCCTCACCCCCCCAGGCACCCCCATAGCCATGTGGGGACCGAGCCCTCCCCCGCCTCCTCGCCAGCCCCTCACCCCCCCAGGCACCCCCATAGCCATGTGGGGACCGAGCCCTCCCCCGCCTCCTCGCCAGCCCCTCACCCCCCCAGGCACCCCCATAGCCATGTGGGGACCGAGCCCTCCCCCGCCTCCTCGCCAGCCCCTCACCCCCCCAGGCACCCCCATAGCCATGTGGGGACCGAGCCCTCCCCCGCCTCCTCGCCAGCCCCTCACCCCCCCAGGCACCCCCATAGCCATGTGGGGACCGAGCCCTCCCCCGCCTCCTCGCCAGCCCCTCACCCCCCCAGGCACCCCCATAGCCATGTGGGGACCGAGCCCTCCCCCGCCTCCTCGCCAGCCCCTCACCCCCCCAGGCACCCCCATAGCCATGTGGGGACCGAGCCCTCCCCCGCCTCCTCGCCAGCCCCTCACCCCCCCAGGCACCCCCATAGCCATGTGGGGACCGAGCCCTCCCCCGCCTCCTCGCCAGCCCCTCACCCCCCCAGGCACCCCCATAGCCATGTGGGGACCGAGCCCTCCCCCGCCTCCTCGCCAGCCCCTCACCCCCCCAGGCACCCCCATAGCCATGTGGGGACCGAGCCCTCCCCCGCCTCCTCGCCAGCCCCTCACCCCCCCAGGCACCCCCATAGCCATGTGGGGACCGAGCCCTCCCCCGCCTCCTCGCCAGCCCCTCACCCCCCCAGGCACCCCCATAGCCATGTGGGGACCGAGCCCTCCCCCGCCTCCTCGCCAGCCCCTCACCCCCCCAGGCACCCCCATAGCCATGTGGGGACCGAGCCCTCCCCCGCCTCCTCGCCAGCCCCTCACCCCCCCAGGCACCCCCATAGCCATGTGGGGACCGAGCCCTCCCCCGCCTCCTCGCCAGCCCCTCACCCCCCCAGGCACCCCCATAGCCATGTGGGGACCGAGCCCTCCCCCGCCTCCTCGCCAGCCCCTCACCCCCCCAGGCACCCCCATAGCCATGTGGGGACCGAGCCCTCCCCCGCCTCCTCGCCAGCCCCTCACCCCCCCAGGCACCCCCATAGCCATGTGGGGACCGAGCCCTCCCCCGCCTCCTCGCCAGCCCCTCACCCCCCCAGGCACCCCCATAGCCATGTGGGGACCGAGCCCTCCCCCGCCTCCTCGCCAGCCCCTCACCCCCCCAGGCACCCCCATAGCCATGTGGGGACCGAGCCCTCCCCCGCCTCCTCGCCAGCCCCTCACCCCCCCAGGCACCCCCATAGCCATGTGGGGACCGAGCCCTCCCCCGCCTCCTCGCCAGCCCCTCACCCCCCCAGGCGGAGCGGCCCTGGAGCGGGGCTGAGCGGAAGGAAATTGAAGGGCAGCATCCTGTTGTTGGGGGGGTTAGTGGATATTCTTGGAGCTGAGTTTGGGGCAAAGAACAGGAAGGGTCCTCAGAGCTGGGGGGCGGGGGGGTGTGTGCAGATGCAGATGCCCCCAGGGCAAGAACTGGGGCCTTGAGGCTGGGCTATGGGGGAGGAGGGACATATGCAAAGAACCGTGGGTCTTCCAAGGGCTGAATCCATCTGGAAATGAGTGGTTTCTATGAGATTTTTTTAATCCGGGGGAGCAATTTTTGAAGGGAAGCCACTTGGGTAATTTATAAAGTGGTTGCAGGTTGGCCAGCAGGTGCAAGCCCTTTAAGTAACATGAATTGAAAGGGCTTCTGCCTCGGCTCCCAGACAATATGTTAGCAGCAGAACCAAGAGCTGTGAGCCATTTCATTTATTTC